GCAGTAAGGTGGGTGTGGGACTGGGGTTACAATCCCTGCTATTGATTTCTGACACAGGCACAGAACCACCTGTTTTTCTCAGCAAAAGGCTAAATCATGTTTGCAGGAATCCTCTCTGTACCATATAAGATCCTATAGACAAGTAGCATCTAGTCTGTTGGTCTAAATGTCTGAGGCTACTGAACTTCCATTCAGTTCTGGTTTCTGCTGAGGCCCAGTAGGCAAAGCAGTGCTCTGCAGACACCGGGGGAAACACAGTGATAGCACACAGTACCTCCTCTGAGGAGCTGGAAGAGTACCCTGCTCCTAACAGAACCTGTGGTATCTGTAAGTGGCACCATCAAGAGCAGGGAATACCCTGCTACTAGTGCCTCAGCCTCCCCATTAGCTGGGATCCCTGGTGGGCACCAAAGCCCCTGGCTAATCTTTGTATTTATAGTAAAGGCAGGGTTTCACCATGTTGGACAGGCTGGTCTTGAACTCTTGAGGTCAAGTGATCTTCCCTTCTGGGCCTCCTAAAATGCTGGAATTCCAGGGATGAGACACCGGACTGGCTCCACAGATTCTTTTTTAAGTAAAGGTTGTTAGAATTCATCTCTTGGTCCAGTCTCCTATATAAATTTCTCTAGCCATTCATTCACCATGATATATGATGAGGTAAATCAATATTGCAGCAATGCTTCTGGAAAGTAGTTAGGGCAATTTTTGAAGATTTTTGGGAAAAGTTTTAATTGTTTGCACTGACTTAGGCCAGAGGATATGATTAAGATCTACCAGATGACGGAGATTTTGTCCCATGGATCTGAAAAGTAGGCTCATCTACTTCTGATGCGACTTAATCTAGGGCCAGTTAGAACACTCCCACCAGAACATCACATTCTTATACTGAGAATATTTTACGTCCTTGTGCTATGAGTGGACACTTATTTGGTCTTGTGTGAAGTGTGATTTGCTTAATGTGACCTGCTCTTCTGAATTTGTTTACAGAAGATCGAAAAGATCACGATGAAGAACAGAAATGCAGAGACAACAAAAATAAACTTCTTATGAGTCAAGTGGCCTACTACCTGGGCTGCCGGCTGAAGATGGAAGGTAAGTTCTATAGGTTCACTGTCACGAAAGTGCTGAACAATGTCCTGTCTTGCCTATGAGAAATGATACACTCTCTTCTTCAAAGTTAATTTCATCCTTCCCATACTTCTAGGAAAATAACAGTGGGTATTTTAACATTTAGTTAAAGATGGAATACAGAGGCCAAACTATTTAGCAACTTTTCCATGTCTACAGTAAGGTGGCTGTGGGACTAAGGTTAAAATCCCAGCTATTGATTCCTGACACAGGCACAGAACCACCTGTTCTTCTCAGCAAGAGGCTAAATCATGTTTACAGGAATCCTCTCCATACCATATAAGATCCTGCAGAACTCATAAACAAGATAATGATAGGAGGGTTTATGTCCTGGCTTCAAGGTGACTGAGTAGCTAAGACAAGTTGACTTTAAGGAGAACAGGAGTGGAGATGAGAAGAGTAAAAGTGGGGAAATGACATCTTCAAATCAATAGGCAGGGCTGTCAGTGACATCCCTCAGTCCAGATTGAACCAATTTGATGTCACCAGTTTCTAATCCATTGTGTGTTTGGGTTTCTTCTCCCCAGTCCCTGGCTTTCTGTGTTCTGCCCCAAACATCAGTAAGGTGGCATCTGACAGGCCTCCTTCCAGAAAAAACACAGAGTTCAATGTTCCAGAAGGCATTGAGAAATCCTGCTCTGAACAGGAAGATAACAAACCGAATATTGGAGTCAGCAAAAATAGACTTCTTATGAGTCCAGTGGACTACTCCCTGAACTATTGGCTGAAGACATACCGTAAGTCCTACAGGTTGACCACCACGAAAGTGATGAATGATGTCCTGTCTTGTCTCAAGAAACTAACCACTCTCTTCATCAAAATTAATTTCATCCTTCCCATACTTGTAGAAAATAGCAGTGGGTATTTTAACATTTAGTTAAAATGGAAGACAGATGCCAAAATATTTAGCAACATTTTCACATCTGCAGTAAGATGGGTGTGGGGCTGGGGTTACAATCCCAGCTATTGATTCCTGACCCAGGCACAGAACCACCTGTTTTTGTCAGCAAGAGGCTGAATCCATGTTTACAGGAATCCTCTCTGTACCATATAAGGTCCTACAGACAAGCAGCATCTAGTCTGCTGGTCTAAAGGTCTGAGGCTACTGAACTTCCATGCAGTTCTGCTTTCTACTAAAGACCCAGTAGGCAAAGCTGTGTTCTGGGGACCCTGGGGGAAACACAGTGATAGCAGACATTACCCCCTGTGAGGAGCTTAAAGGGGACCCTGCTCCTAATAGAACCTGTGGTATCTGTAAGTGGCACCATCAAGAGCTGGGAGCACCCTGGTACTGGTGCCTCAGCCTGCCAATTATCTGGGATCCCCGGTGGGCACCACCACACCTGGCTAATTTTTGTACTTTATGTAGAGGCAGGGTTTCACCATGTTGGCCAGGCTGGTCTTGAACTCCTGAGGTCTGGTGATCTGCGTGCCTGGGCCTCCTAAGTTGCTTGGATTCCAGGTGTGAGCCACCATGCTGGCTCCACAGATTCTTTTTAAAGTAAATGTTGTTAGAATTCATCCGTTGGTCCAGTATCCTATATAAATTTCTCTAAACATTCATTGACCATGATATATGATGACATAATTAGTATTGCAGCAACCCTTCTGGAAAGTAGTTAGGGCAATTTTTGAAGATTTTGGGGGAAAAAGTTTTAATTGTTTGCACTGACTTAGGTCACAGGACAGATGATTAACATCTACAAGATGAGAGAGATTTTGTCCCATGGGTCTGAAAAGCAGGCTCATCTACTTCTGAGGTGACTTAATCTAGGGCCCGATAGAACATTCCAGTCAGAATATCACATTCTTACACTGAGAATATTTTATGTCCTTGTGCTATGACTGGACACTGATTTGGTCTGTGTGAAGTGTGATTTGCTCAATGTGACCTGCTCCTCTGAATTTATTTACAGAAGATCGAAAAGATCATGAAGAGGAACAGAAATACAGAGGCAGCAAAAATAAACTTCTTATGAGTCAAGCGGCCTACTACCCAGGCTGCCAGCTGAAGACAGAAGGTAAGTTCTATAGATTCACCGTTACGAAAGTGCTGAACGATATTCTGTCTTTGCTCTGAGAAATGGAAGACACTCTCTTCATCAGAATTTATTAAATTTTTCCCATCCTTCTAGGTAAATATAAATGGCTCTCTTAACATTTTGTTAAAAATGGATGAGAGAGGCCACAGTATGTAGCACCTTTTCCACGTCTGCAGTAAGGCAGGTGTAGGACTAAGGGTAAAGTCTCAGCTGTTCATTTCTGACACAGGTGCACAACCATGTGTGTTTCTCAGCAAGAGGCTGTTGATTTCTGACACAGGCACAGAAGCACCTGTGTTTCTCAGCATGAGGCTAAATCATGTTTACAGGAATCCTCTCTGTACCACCTAAGATCCTACAGACAAGTAGCATCTAGTCTGTTGGTCTAAATGTCTGAGGCTACTGAACTTCCATTCAGTTCCCATTTCTGCTGAGGCCCAGTAGGCAAAACTCTGTTCTGGGGACACTGGTGTAAACACGGTGATGGTACACAGTACCCACTGTGAGGAGCTTGAAGGGGACCCTGCTCCTAATAGAACCTGTGTTATCAGTAAGTGACACCATCAAGAGCACGGAGTACCATTGAATTGGTGACTCAGCCTCCCAATTAGCTGGGATCCCTGGTGGATACCACCACACTTGGCTAGTTTCTGTATTTTTAGTAGAGGCGGGGTTTCACCGTGTTGGCTAGGCTGGTCTTCAACTCCTGAGGTCAAGTGATGTCCCTTCCTGGGCCTCCTAAATTCTCCGATTCCAGGTGTGAGTCACTTTGCTGACTCCACAGATTCTTTCTTATGTAAAGGTTGTTAGAATTCATCCATCAGTCCAGTCTCCTATGTAAATTTCTCTATTTGTTCACCATGATATATGATGAGATATATCAGTATAGCTGCAATGCTTCTGGAAAGTAGTTAGGGCAATGTGTGAAGATTTTGGGGAAGAGGTTTTAATTGCTTGTGCTGACTTAGGTCAGAGAATACATGATTAAGATCTAGCAGATGAGGGAGGTTTTGTCCCATGGATCTGAAAAGCAGGCTCATCTACTTCTAGTGTGACTTAATCTAGGGACCAGCAGAATGTTCCCATCAGAATATCACATTCTTAAACTGAGAATATTTTTCATTTTTGTGATATGACTAGCCACTGATTTGATCTTGTGTGAAGTGTGATTTGCTTAATGTGACCCCTTCTTCTGAATTTATTTACAGAAGATCGGAAACGTCATGAGGAGGAACAGAAACAGACAGCAAAAATAAACTTCTTAAGAGACAAGTGGCCCACTACCCAGGCTGCAGGCTGAAGACGGAAAGTAAGTTCTGTAGGTTCACCATCATGAAAGTCCTGAACGAAGTTCTGTGTTTCCTCTGAGAAACTAAAGGCTCTCTTCATCAGAGTTAATTTCATTTTTGCCATACATCTAGGAAAATATAAATGGGTATTTTAATATTTTGTTAAAGGTGGACGAGAGAGGCAAAAGTATGTGGAAACTTTTCCACATCTACAGTAAGGCAGGTGTGGGACTGAGGGTAAAGTCTCAGGTGTTGATTTCTGACACAGGCGCAGAAGCACCTGTGTTTCTCAGCAAGAGGCTAAATCATGTTTACAGGAGTCCTCTCTGTACCGCCTAAGATCCTGCAGACAAGCAGCATCTAGTCTGTTGGTCTAATTGTCTGAAGCTACTGAACTTCCATTTGGTTCCAGTTTCTGCTGAGGCCCAGTATGCAAAGCAGTGTTCTGGGGACACGGGGGTAAACACAGTGATAGCACACAGTATCTGCTATGGGGAGTTTACACAGCACCCTGCTCCTTCAACATCCTGTGGTATCGGTAAGTGGCAGCATCAAGAGCAGGGAGTACCCCTGTATTCGTGACTCAGCCTGTTACTTGGCTGGGATCACTGGTGGACACCATCACACTTGGCTAGTTTTTGTATTTTTAGTAGAGGCAGGGTTTCACCATGTTGGCCAGGCTGGTCTTGAACTCCTGAGATCAGGTGGTCTCCCTTCCTGGGCCTCCTAAATTGCTCCAATTCCAGGAGTGAGTCACTGTGCTGCCTCCACAGATTCATTTTTATGTAAACGTTGTTAGAATTCATCCATGAGTCCAATCTCCTCTATAAATTTCTCTAACGCTTTGTTGACCATCATATATGATGAGATAAATCAGTATTACTGAAATGCTTCTGGAAATTAGTTAGGGCAATTTTTGAAGATTTTGGGGAAAAAGTTTTAATTGCTTGTGCTGACTTAGGTCAGAGGATACGTGATTAAGATCTAGCAGATGAGGGAGATTTTCTTTCATGGATTTGAAAAGTAGGCTTATCTACTTCTAGGGCAACTTAATCTAGGGACCAGAAGAACACTCCCATCAGAATATCACATTCTTAAACCGAATATTTTTCATTTTTATGATATGACTAGACACTGATTTGGTCTTGTGTGAAGTGTGATTTGCTTAATCTGACCTGCTCTTCTGAATTTGCTTACAGAAGATCTGAAACGTCATGAGGAGGAACAGAAATACAAAGACAGCAAAAAAAACCCTCCCAAGCTGCAACCGCACCAAGACCCAGGCTGCAGGCTGAAGACAGAAAGTAAGTTCCATAGGTTCACTGTCAACAGAGTGCTGAACGATGTTCTGTGTTTCCTCTCAGAAACTAAAGACTCTCTTCATCAGAATTAATTTCATGTTTGCCATACGTCTAGGAAAATATAAATGGGTATTTTAACACGTTGTTAAAGGTGGACGAGAAAGACCAAAGTATGTAGCAACTTTTCCACATCTGCAGTAAGGCAGGTGTGGGACTGAGGGTAAAGCCTCAGGTGTTTCTGCAGAAGCACCTGTGTTTCTCAGCAAGGGGCTAAATCATGTTTTACAGAAATCCTCTCCGTGCCACCTAGGCTCCTGCAGACAAGTAGCATCTAGTCTGTTCTAAATATATGAGGCTGCTGAACTTACATTCGGTTCCAGTTTCTGCTGAGGCTCAGTAGGGAAAGCTCTGTTCTGGGGGAAATGCAATTGTAGCACGCTGTACGCACTATCGGGAGCTTAAAGAGGAATCTGCTCCTTACATAACCTGTGGTATCTGTAAGTGGCCTCATCAAGAGCAGTGATTACTCTGGTGAGAGGGATGTCCTGCTTTCTGTGCAGAGGCTCTTGTTGGTTAAGAGGAAGAATGACAGCACCTACAACTTTGTGGAGGCAGCAGTGCATAGAGGAGGGACCCTGGGCCAGTCTCCTGAGCTCCATCCAAGTTGTTTCTTGGAGACAGTTGTTGGCACAGAGTAATCACTGTCCATTAGTTCTTCATTCTACTGTATCTAACATAAGAGAAACTTTTATTAGTCTGTGCATATTTCCTTTATGGCCTTATGAGAGACTCCAGACCTCCATACTTCCACGATGACAGTTTTATCAGTGGTGTTTTCTTCCACTAAACATATGTAGCCATGACGTGACTAGGACTTTCTGAACGAGAACACAGATGGGAAATCCATGGGGTTGGAGGTCACGGTATTGTAAATGTCCCTCCTTCCATGATGGATGGTGGTCATTGGAGCAAAAGGCAGCATCTCTCCAGTTGTAAAGGACAGGAAGGAAGCTGTGACAGAAGGGCAGTTATTGGAGTGGAAAGAGCTCTGGAGTAAGAATGAAGGTTCCCAGGCTGTATCTTCAGCAGTGTTCCTAGGAACTGTCAGTGAGCAATTGATTTCTCCTTCCTGACTTTCTCTGTCTTCATCTGCAAAGGCAGGTAAATTTCTCTCTCTCCATCTGCAAAGGCAGACATCTTGCAGTGTCTGAAGCATTCAAATGTGCAAACACTTATGACCGCTTATCACAATGAGATAAAGCCCCTCGCTATGTGGTGTTGGAGAAAGCACTTGATGTGTGGGCATCTGGTGTTAGGAAGTGGTTCAGACTGGAGCACTCCCCATGGATAGAATGTCCCTGAATAACATAGCAGAAGCCACTTGGAGGGCCTGTGAAGTCACCTGATGTGCAGAGGATTGTGAGACAAGTTTGTTTATCCTCTCCTAAGAGAAAGAAATAGGTTGTAAATGTGAACTGTGACAGGATCCCAAGCCTGTCCCTGGGAATCAGATCTGTGTCAGGATGGCAGAGACAGCTGCCAAAGTCCAAAGAGAGGCTGCACAAGCCTCCAGTGATGTGGAGAGCAGAAGTGTTTTCAGCATTTGGCCTTATCTTGACGGTGAGCCTCCTGATCAGAAATGAACTGCCTGGTGGATCAGAAAACCATACCGGGGCATTTTGTTAAAGAGAAAACATGAGAGCTTTAGGTAGAACGGGGACCCATACACAGATGTTCATGTCCCTGCACACATTGGGCTGACTGTCCTTGCAGAGTGTGAAATGGGAAATATCTGAATGAACACATCTGTACTTGCAAAAAACGACAAAAATGAGGGTGAAGATGTTCATGTTGTGGAGGCTGAAAAAATGCAGGAATCACGTGCCCCCAGGTAACACTGTATAATCAGGAGTAAGTAATGGGTGGTAAAGTATGGAAAAGGTCTAGAAGCACACCCTCTCTGGCGTCTCCCATGGGCAAAAAGCCTGCATTCCCTTGGCCACAATATGTTCAGTTCAACCCAACTTAGACACAGAGTGTGGCAGCTGTTGTGGTTCTTTCTACGTGCTGAGTGCCGTGTCTGAATTATACAGGGATAACTGAGTCTCTTCATTCTCTGCTCCTTTCTGCCCAGTGTGATGAATACCAGCTGCTGTCTTTCTCTCCAGTTCCCATGGCTGCCATGCTCTGTTGCAGAGAGGATTGCCTGTTTCCTCTCAAAGGGAACCTCCCATTTGCCTTCTGGGACCACTCTCTCATTCCTCCTGTGAAAACTAGCTAGGACTCCCTGGGGTCCAATCCCTCCTTGTTTAATCTTTTGTCATCTCTATCCCATCTGGCTCATCAGGGAGGTGCAGAAGATTGAAGTCAAGAAAGTCCCTGAGGACTCACTGGAGAAATATGTCATCACTCGTTCAAATAGCTATGGCCCTATTGGCTCCAGCCAGCCTCACAGAGACACCAGTGAAATCACATTTGAGGGAAACAACATCGACTCTGCGCTGGTTGTAGAGAGTGAATCATCTCATGATGTGGTGGAGGATGCTCTAATCATTCTTTCAGGTGGCCTCTACATTCCTTGTTTTTGGTACCTCTGTCTAGGCTGAGGAAGATCAACTCTGAAGAAAGGCTCTATACACAGAAATCGGTTTGAATAAAAACCTATCATGGGATACTAAACACAGATACCAGAGAATTTTTATCTCATCCTCAGCTCATGCCATGCATTTGTCTCTGAGGCCCAAGAATCAAGTTACCAGACCCCAGACCAGTGTGACAAGCTCATGGTTACCTGTGTGCAGGAGGTGTACAGGAGGTGTCTGTCAGGTCTCCTAGCTTTGATTCAGTATATCTCGTGTCATTAGGCCATCTTCCCTGAACAATGTCCCTGGAATTTCTATTTATTTTTAAGGAACCTGGGAGCCTTGCCTATTTATTTGGACAGATTGTTCCCCAGGTTTCACTGCTCTGAGCTTCAGTCTTGATCTCTTTTAAGTCAGCTTGCTTAGCTGCATAGGCACCTTGAAACCAGGATGAAAACATTTCCTCTTTACCTTGCTGATATGTTTCCATAAAGCAAGGCTCAGCCCTGGCTCTCCACTCCATCCATGCAATGGCCGATCTGATGTTTCTTCGTAGCATCATGTATTGCTTCTTGTTGTTTTTGAGATGGAGTCTCCTTTTGTCACCCAGGCTGGAGTGCAATGGCACCATCTTGGCTTACTGCAGTCTCCACTTCCCGGACTCCAGTGATTCTCCTGCCTCTGCCTCCTGAGTAGCTGGGACCATACATGCCCCCCACCACACCTAGCTAATTTTTGCATTTTTAGTACAGATGAGGTTTCACCATGTTTGCCAGGCTGGTCTTGAACTCCAAACTTTAAGTGGTTCACACACTTTGTCCTTTGAAATCACAGATTTTTTTTTTTTTTTTTTTTTTTTTTGGGAGAGGGAGTCTCCCTCTGTTATTCAGGCTGGAGTTCAGTTGCACGATCTCAGCTCACTGCAACCTCCGCTTCCTGGGTTCAGATGATTCTGCTGCCTCAGCCTCCCGAGTAGCTGAGACTGCAGGCATGTGCCACCATGCCCAGCTAATTTCTTTGTATTTTTAGTAGAGACACGCTTTCACTGTGTTAGCCAGGATGGTCCTGATCTCCTGACCTCGTGAAGTGCTCACCTTGGCCTTTGAGAGTGCTGAGATGACAGGCGTGAGCCACCGTGCCTGGCCCACGGATTCTTTTTTGTTTGTTTTTGTTTTGTCTTTTTTTATTCAGTCTCCCGAGAGACTGTCAAAAATTGTCAATGCCGACTATTGCATGTCATCATGGCGGGGTATTGGGAAAAGTTTTCAGTTAGCAAAAACCTCATCTCAGATAAAACTCATTGCCTACAATAGTGGCACTGAGCAAAGCTCACAGATTCTTTTTAAAGCAAATGTTGTTAGAATTTCCCTATCAGTCCAGTTTCATGTATAGACGCCTCTAACCATTCAATGACCTTGGCACCTGGTGAGATAAGTCAGTATTGCAGCAACACTCCCAGAAAAGGGTTTGACTCATTTTTGGAGGTTTTCTGGGAAAAAATTTGGTTTAACTTTGCATGGACTCAGACAGAGAATATGGCATGATGGTCTACCTGTAGAGGGAGATTTTGGCCTGCGTGTCTGGAAAGCAGGCTCACCTACTCACCAGGCTTCATCTAGGGCACCCTGGAATGGTCCTGTCAGAATTTGTATTCTTGCCCTGAGAATGTTTTTGTGCTTGTGCTACGACTAAACACTGATTTGGTCGTATGTGAAGTGTGATTTGCTGAATGTGACCTGCGTCTCTGAATTTATTTACAGACAGACAAAGTCATGATGAGGAAGATGAAGAAAGAGGGCCTGTACCCCCCAGGTAATGCTGTGGAGTTGAGGGCTGTTAGTTCAGTAGTGACACCTGGAGACTGTAGATCCTGGGAAAATGAGTAAGTGATGACTAGAACTCTTTCTTCCATTCACCCAGCTACAAATTGTCCTTATTAACAATGTTGTGGGTGATTGGTGGCACTTGTATAGGCTTTAATTTCTCACTCCTCCCAAGATGGGAACGTGCAATCAGATCAGCCAGGTGAACTCAGCAAACAGGGATTTCCTGGTTTCACCTGTTCTCCCCACTATGTTTAAACCCAGGGAGAGATGCATATGTGCTTTCTGCCCATTTGTTGTGAGCATGTTTGCTAGGATTTGTGAAGAGAAGGAATTCAAAACATAGACATATGATATCAAAATACTGGAAAAGGGAGGCCATTAATACACAAGATCTGGGTGTCTGAAATGCCTCAGGAGCTCTGTTCACTTGAATGCTGCATGTAAACTTCAACACAACTTATGCGAGGCAGTTGAAGCCCCGTGTTATTTCTTGTGCTGCAAGTCATGATGATAGTTTACAGGGAGAGTCGGTGGCCTGCAGTGGCTCGTCTGTGGCAAATGCATTGAGCACATGCTGCTCATTTGTGCTCTGTCCCCAGGGTAGTCACCCTCCACCCTGCATTTAGAAGGGATAGTTTTTTTCTCTTGAAGGAAAAATGCCTTTGCTTTCTGTGAGCATTCCATTCTGACTTCCATCAGATCAGCTGGGTGACTTTGTTTTCTAATCTCTGTTGGTTTCATCTTCTGTCATCCCTGTCCTGCCTGGCTCATCAGGAATCTACAGGAGTCTGTGGAGCAGGAAGCAACCCAAGAGTCCTGGGGTGAAGGTTATTCGACTCTCTCAATTCCTCCTGGCACATCTGCCTTCAGTGAGTCTTACAGGAGCAACTTGCAGTCATTAGAGGAGCAGCAAGTCAACTTGGCTGTCGACATAGGCAGTGAGTACTCCATTGTGAAGTTGATAAAGCTCCAATTTGTGTCCCAGATAGACCCCATAGTCTTCGGGCCTTGCTCCGCTGGCCAGGCTGAGAGTTGTCATCACTGTGGGCTGAACCTGTCCATCAGTGTAGATTTCAGTCACTCTGGATTCCAGTCTGAAGCATGGGCATGCGGTGGGTCAGTGAGCTTTGCTCTCTCTCTAGTGTCAGTCCATGCCCGTCGCACCCTGGACCGACTGTCAGGACATTGAAACCCAAGGCAGGTGTCGCCAATTCACACCAAGCTGTGCAGAACATGCCCACGAGTTGTCTGTCAATCTGAATTAAATGTCGCTTGCCAGCTACCATGTTCCTCAGGAGTTTTGTTCCCCATGCATGTCTGTGATGTTCTTTCCTGTTTGTACAAACTTGGGATAAAGGGATAATGGTCTACCAGAATAGGGACGTTTCACCATTGGTTCTGAGACACAAACCAAGGAATCTCTATCATGATTGGCTTTGAGACCTCCTGAAGTCTGTCTCTCACATTATCCTGTTCCCATGCTGAGGAGCCTGAGCTCCCTGTGCAGGGATTAGACAGTGGACTGTTTCGGGTGTAGGGTAATGGCTTATTTTGTCTGTCCCTATCTGAATTTATTGCAGGTTAAAAAGGACCAAGAAGAGGAAGAAGACCGGAGCCCACTGTGACCCAGGTAACTTTGAGCAATTGTGAACAGCTAATGTTGTGTTGACACCTGGAAACACCAGGTCCAGGGAAAACAGAGTGGGCTGACAATATCGATACCATCTTTTCAACAAAGCCTGAATTATTCCTACTAACATTGCTGTTGGTTTTCATTGCAGTAGATATTTAGGTTTGCATTTCTTCCTCCCTTTACCATTTACTAACTACTGTAGGTTGACCATGCTTGTTTTTATGATCAGTGTACACTGTGTGTCCTGAGGGCACTAACTCAGAGTGTGCTTTTACCCCCTCATCAGTGTGTCACCTGGACGGTTCACTGAGCTTACTTTCTCTCTCTGTCTTTTTCATTCTTTTTACCCTACTCTTGTCCATCCCAGCATAAGGCAATAATTTGTTGCGTTATTAATGGATCTATGTTTTTTCTTTATTAACCACTTTCTTGTGCTACCCATGAAATCTAGTTGGGGCTCTGTGGTGTCTTATTTTCCCTGACATATTCTTTGGTTTTTCCTTTTTTTTTTTAGGCTCAGCATGGAGCTGGTGGAAGCAGAAGAGCCGGAAGTCTTCTGGTACTCACTGGATATATTGTGTTCAACATATACAGCGTATCTTGAGTTTTATTACACATGCCAGGCTTACACATATGCCATTTTTTTATTTGTAGAAGAGCATGTTCGCTTGACTTTGGACATGACAGTGATAAGAATCCACCTGGTCTCCCGGATAGGGGTCATATTCCCACACTAAGACAACATGTCACATGGGACTCTGCCGGTGCAGAGTATGAACAACGACATGTTCTTGCTGAAAACGCTTAGCCTGAGTTTCATAGCCCGAGGTAATCTCCAGAAAACTTCAGTATGTAGAACAGTGAGCAGCACTACTGACCTGTCTCCTTAAGACCACCCACGTCACCACAAATCACACACCTAAAAGGAGAAGAGACATTTTGGGTTGAAAAAGTTAAAAAATAATGTAGTCACATTTCTTTAGTTCTTTTGAACCCAAAGTGTCTCCTCATCTTTTTATTGTTGTCGTTGATGGTGGTGACATGGGCTTGTGTGTAGAGGACAGGTCATCTGTCTGGCTCAATGGTCTGTACTCTGAAGTTGTCTGAAAATGTCCTCCTGATTAAATTCAGCCTAAGCGTTTTTCCGGGAACACTGCAGGGTCAACGCTACCTCACCCATCTACAGGTAGAGACAGTCCCATGTGTCTACCACCATGATCGTGATACCAGGACTGTTCCACTATTTGTCTGTCACCA